ATCTTGGAGGCGTACCTGCCATCGTGGTGGGCCGTCTCTTGGAAGCTGACCTATCATGGTGACCGCGGCTGACCTTGGCAGCGGTACGCGTCATGGTTGCTCGGTTTTGGAAGTGCCGTCGTGGTCGCTTAAAGCAATGCTGTTGGGTCTTTGAATGGGCTAATTTGGATGGTTGCTGTGGCAAAGGGTGACATTGTTTTGTAGATGGAAATCGGTTCGCGGTTCGACAATTGCAAACTGAGGGTAGTCGAAATTCATGGAGTTTCAGAAGCTGAGGGACCCTCTTAATTTGAGGTTTTGATTCTTACTACTTACCCTCTCAGACCCCGGTTTCCCTCGCCTTGACGATTAGAAGTATGCCAAGTCCGACTCTGCTCAGCCGGAGCGGTTGGAATAGTGAGGGGTTGGGTAGAGAGTCGCAGTGGTGGTAGCAAAGCTCGGAGGAGGAACCGGGGCAGCAGCCAAATTTTAGCCCAACGGGGCCGCAACCAAAATTTAGCCCAACGGTGCGGAATGACTAGGGAGGTTAATTGTAATTGTTGCGCAGGCTCGTAGTCTTCCCATCATGTGGTCGGCCAAAGAGTTTAATCAGGCTTCTAGGGTTTATCGTGACGACGCCCAAAGTAGCGGGAGCCCTAAATTTGCGACACCATCACATCTCGTATCTTTTCAACCCTGGGAGCCCTCAGCACAGGCACCAACCTCTTCAACGGCGTTTTCTGGGAGCCGAAGGAGGAGGATCGCTTTAGCCACGATGCTCGCAAGCCAGTGCTTCCGGATATTTGCCATTTCGGAATCGTGGATGCGACGAGCAACGCATACCTTGTGCGATGTTCTTGGTAAGAGCCCCGGGATAAGAGAGTGGGGTCGTTGGTGTCATCGCCGTCGTTGCACTGGTGCCCGAATCGGTTAAATCACGACTACAAGAGCCCTTCTCAGACCGCGCTTGCCTAGGCTTCAAGCATGCCCGGCCGGAGAAGCCTGCCAACCTCAAGATCTACGAAGCGCATGTAGGCCGCTTGGGCTACGGGTTATAGGCCCGAAGGGCTTGCAACTCCAGATGGCGGAGATTGTCCTACAAGGCAGTATGATAGAGCGCAATAGCAATGTAGTACCATACGATAAACTTGTAATACTATAACATGCTGCAGTAGAAGATGGACTCATGGCACCCCACAAAATGACGTAGTGATAAGGTAGATTACAACAACGAGGACGCAGCTGATGTGTTTTGTTTAGGGCTTAGCGTTTTTGATATGAATTCAGATTAGGGTGGTTGTGGATTCTTCAATTCGGGATGACATGCTTCGAGGTGGTGTTGTTGCCTTCAAGAACTGGCTCCCAGTGTTTGGAGTTGTCTTGTCAGAGTAAAAGACTTTTGCTTTGTCAACTTTTCGACGGCCTGGTGAAATCTCTTATGTAGATTCGGCAATTTGGCCGCACGACTGCGCACAGGGCTTACGGCTTTGGCACAGAGTCGACAACCCCAGGCTGTGACACGCAGGCTACGAAAACTTGAAGCTGAAAGCCCTACAGCCCCAAACCAAACAACCCTCGCTCTAAAGCCCCACGACCCTTGTAAGTTCAAGAACCTGCTTTGTGCACAGAAACATCGCCCTTCGTCCACACTCCTAGAAGTCTGCCTGTATTCACCACGATGAAGAACCTTGTCGCATCCGCATAAAATCCTGACAAAGCCTTCGTAATGCCCAACAGGCATGGGAACCGTCGAGCCGAAAGTCTCTACATATGTCGAGTTTGCCGAGACTCTTGGACCTGGGAAGTTCTGACATAAAAGTATATAATAGTATATATGCACTGTGTGTGTGTATATATATATGTATACATACATACATACATACATACATACATACATATATATATATATACATATGTTATATGCATATGTATGCGTGCATGTATGTATATATGTTTGTATGCTCACAAATACACTGTCATACGTACATACACAGATGAGGCCGACAGGGAAGGAACACGGTCTTGGGTACTGTATTGTCGATATCGATATCTGTCTCTCTCCTCCCTCTCTTGGTGTCTGTCTGTCTTTCTGTATATAGATAGGTAGGTAGATAGATTGATAGGTATAAGTATATAAACGCACATGTAAAATGCCAAAACATCACGACGGATGAACACGACAGTTCATAGAGGGCTTCTTCAAGAACAGTCGTACGGACAATTGTGGCTCCGGTGACTTCTCCATACGCCTTGCTGTGTTGAGACAGCAGATGAAAATGCAGAACCAGGGCAAATTGTGTTGGGCCCCTGGTTTGGCGTTGACAAGCATGGCCAAGAAGTTGAAGTCCAGGCCATCTTTCAACAGTCAAGGGTTGAAAGCAAAAGCAGACGGCTTGGCAGTTTGATATACGTAAATACAACATGCATGCTTGTGTGTACAATAATTATATGCACACGTGTATGTAGAGGTACATATTTATAATGATATAGACATACGTATACATATGTATGTATGTATGTATGTATGTATGTATGTATGAATATATACACACATACATGTGTATGTGTGTGTGTTACATCTGTAGAAAAAATGCACATCGACGTTCTTCTATGCCAGATCGTAATCGCGACATGCGACAGAGTCCCGAAGTCCGACACCATGCTCCATTCCATGGTGCAATGCGACTTGGAGTTTGGCTTTGCTACCTTCCTGCTGGAAGCCCTCACGCCTGGCACAAAGGAACCCTACTCCCTCCACCCTGCCCTCTGAGGAAAGGTGGGTGCAAACCTCACTGGTGTGTCTTCTTTTGCTGTAAAGGTGGTGAAAGGATGTTATAAACTGCATGGTATACATCGATGAATAGGTAGAACAGATAGGTTTAGGACACACAGCCACGCAGCATTCCTGCCCCCTGTCCTGCATTCCGCCCAGTAACGTGCTTCCACGGATCAAGCGCATGGGCTACAACTGCATACAGCTCATGGCTGTGGCCGAGCACGCGCACTACGGCTGCTTCGGCTACCATGCCCCTGGGCTGCAGAGGATCCGTATCGGCTGAAAGCTGTTCAGAGCAGGTAAGCCTTCTCTTGCCTCTCGCAGCTGTTTCTCGCTTCAAGCTTGTGCTTGCAAAATCTACAGCACCTCCGTCTTTCGTTGCCGGAATGCAGCGGCGTCAATGTGTGGCATTATGCTTCATCTTCATGCTGGCCGGGGCAGAGGCGGCTCGCACCGCCGAGTCCGCGAATGTCATGCACTCCGTGGTGCTCCACAGCGGGCGCCGGAGCTCGCAGAGCTTCGAGGGCACGATGGATGTTGCCGGCTCTGAGATGATCCCTTCGTCGGATTCGCTAATGAGACGTCTCACTGCACTGAATACGAGTGCCGAGGATGTGCAAGATGGCAAAGGCTTTTGGCGAGTGAAAAACTGCATGATGACATGCCCGCTGATTTGGACAAAAATTATCTACCACTCTTGGCTGGCGAGATCTGATGCGAAGAAGATCGTGGCTGACTCCTTCGCAGCCGGCGACGATGTCGCCATGCTGCCAAGTGTGAGTCAACTACTTGGAGACTCCTTCCGTGGGACTATGCGCAAGACCGTCTGGACTTTCCTCAAGGTGACCTGTTTGAGAAAGATGTTCCAGCCAAGTCAAGACCATGTCTTTTCTGCAAAACCTTCTTGTACCCTCTCAGGGACCCCGTTGGGCAAACAAGTCTAATGAATCTTGAACCCCAAATCCGGATCCCCAAGCTCCAAACCCCCGCACCTTATTGGACCCTGCCCAGGTGATAGACGACAGCGTTGTCCAGCGGATTTTGCTCGCTCTGTTCTTTGCACCGTTAGGCCGGGCGGGGGTTCCGGCATCGATTCAGCACATGAAGCACTCCGAAGTGGCCCCGAAGTAAACCCTGAACCCCAAACCGCACAGCCCCCAGGTCTCTTCCGAGTCCTGACGAAGATGTCTCCGCTTGGCTTGTGCTTCCTGAAGCAGGCGTGGAAGGACTTGGAGGCCAACGAAGACTACGAGTGCCTTGGATATGGTTCTGCCAGTGAGAGTTCTGAACCTATATACGTATACTTTTGTTTAGTAGTTGTGGGATAGTGGTGGTGATGGTAGTGGTAGTAGTAGTACTCGTCGTCGTCGTCGTAGTAGTAGTAGTAGGAGTAGTAGTAGTAGCAGCAGCAGCAGTAGTAATTGTAATTGTAATTGTAGTAGTCGTCGTCGTCGTCGTCGTAGTAGTAGTAGTAGTAGTAGTAGTAGTATTAGTAGTAGTCGTAGTCGTAGTGGTAGTGGTAGTGGTAGTGGTAGTGGTAGTGGTAGTAGTAGTAGTAGTAGTAGTAGTAGTAGTAGTAGTGGTAGTGGTCGTAGTAAT